CTGCGCGAAGTAAACTTTACGGAAAGCGTTGTGGCTCTTAGGTCCTTTCTTTTCCTCTTGTACCTGAGCAGAAATACTACGATCATGAAGTATGAAAAGATGATGACGAAGTAGCTCAAGGAAAACGATGCCATCGCCATGAACGTTTTGGGAAAGGACGGCGGAAGGACAACCATCAAAACAGGAATTGAAATCGGCAGTGCCCAAGAAGCTATGAGCAAAATCACAAGTCCGCATTTCTTCATGACAATTTTGTAGTGAAGAGGGAACGCAACGGCGATAAACCGATCCAAACTGATCGAGGCTAAGTGGATCACTGAAGCGGAACAAGAAAGGTTGACTATGAGACGATACGGCATTTCCAGGCTTGCTTTGCATTCGTGAAAGAATGTTCGATTGTAGAAGATTTCCAAAAGGAAGGGCTGGCATACCAAGGTGACTAATAAATCAGCGATCGCTAGGCTTAACAGAAGGTAGTTTGAGGTTCGGCGTAGGAGAGGGTGAGTGGCAATGGCAAAACAAAGGAGTAAGTTGCCAAACGATCCCAATATGCACACCATAGCGTTGACTGTGATCAGTGCAATACCATGGGCCATGGGAAGAGAACAACTCTTGGCGTTCTCCGATGATTTGTTCATGTTCTTTTATGGTCTGGTGCACCATACGGTGTAAAATCAGGATTACTTACTCTAAGCTCGAGTAAATGGGAAAAACTCGCAACTAAGATTCTAAAAATATGTCTACCTCGCCAGTCAGACGTTATTGGACTTATTTTGACTCAGAGGTACCTATAAATAGTCTACTGACGTGAGCCAGAATATACATTCTGAAACTCTTATACTGCGATAACAATAATCAGATAAGTCAGATTGAGAGCCATAACTGCAAATATTAGCCTTCTAACAAGCTTTCTTGCAATAATAAAATACCGCAAAAGTTTTAAAATCTTTGCCATTTAGACCATGGCCTTAACCTGAAGATATGATCAATTAAATGTCGAACAAATTAGGATGATGCGCTTGAGCTAAGCCAACTAAACCAGGTATCTTCACTATCAGGGTAGCAAGGGTGGCGCAGTGCTAAGAGTAATCGCGGCCTCACACCAGTAAGGCTCAGGTTTAAATCCCGGCGTCGACGCCATAAGGTGGGTTGAGTTTGTACGTTCTCTCCTTTGCTGCGAGAGGTTTTTCTCCGGGTACTTCGATTTTCCGCTCTCCTCAAAAATCAACATTTTCAAATACCAGTTCGATAAGGAATCTGGTAGATCAAGAACCACTTAATTAAAAAGATGCGCTACTTCTAAATGTCCATTTTATTTATTTATTTGACATCATCATCATTATTGCAAATACAGTAGCTGTTGTTACAAGGTTGTTGTTGTTGTTGTTAAAATCTCCATTATTATTATCAATATATTGTTTTGCTTTATTAATTGGAAGTCCAGCCTTATTCACTTACAAATCTGCGAAGGTCAAGATCAAATCACTTGCGTTGCGTCATTACACCTGTCAGTGATATTGTGCTAAATAGGCCATTTTACAGTTGTGGGCTGAGTGTACTAGTCTTTGAGTGAATGTGAGACTGAGGTTAACCTTGTTTTGATACAAACCGGCCTCCTTCCCTTTTCTAAATACAAGTTAGCATTATTATAAGAAAAACATGATTTACACATGTCCACTGAAGCAACAATCGGCGACAAAATTGTGGAGGCACTTTCTTCAAATGGGGCGCTTTCGAACAACAACAACAAAAAGTTGGGTTGTTTGTTGTTCTCAACGGGTAGTTTGGGCAGTGGCCAACAGTTTAAGGAATAAGTCTAGCTTTACTTTTTGAAGTAGATAGTGTCGGGAAAACGTTTAGTGATGTCGTTGTGGACAAGGTGTCTCACAGATTGCAGCTGGACATTTGGTTATTATCAAGAGAGTCGCTTTATTAACACCCGGCTTTATGTAAACTAAGTCAATGGAAAGGAGTCTTTCGCCGAGGACTTAAGACCCAGCTGGATTTGTTTGTTAATAGCCCCCAGCTACCGTTCTGCAAAAACTCTATTGAGCCGGATCTTTTACGAATAAATGACTCGTGTTTGGAGAGGGTATCCAAGTTTAAGCTACTGGGGGTATGGCAACAAGAGAACCTATGTTGGAATTATCATGTTGAACAGACTGTAAAAATAGCACGCAAGAGATTCTATTTTTTGAGGGAATGTAGGAAAGCGAACCTACCTACAGAGATTGGCATCACGATATGTTGTACCAGAATACACTCACTTCTCTAAATGCCTCCCCATTGTGGGGCGATTTGCCAAAGTACCTTGCAGAGGAACTTTAGTCTATACAAAACAGGCGCCTAGATATCATCGCGATACCAAGAAAGTCCCTTCCAACGCTAGAGGACAGGTGCAACGTAGCGACAAAACGTGAATTAGAAAGAATTGTTAATGATATTAATCATCCAAATCAAAGTTTTCTCACCAAGCCAAATAACAGCCACGGCTATAACTTAGCATCCAAACCAGGTTCAGTAGCAATAACATAGTCAGGGACGCAAAGACATGCAAATTCATTTATAGCTGCAAGACTCCTTTAATGATCTGTCATTTTTACTTACTTACTTACTTTTCTTACTTTTTTATTACAATAATCACTTGATAGCATTTCATAGCATTGTAAATCCCTTGTATTTATTTTTAAAAGATAGATAGATAAAGGTTATTATTAATAAGCCATTTTGCAGTTATGGATGGAAGCGAGATTGGAGTTGACCTTGCATGTTTTGGTACAAACCTTCCTGCTTTGTTCTGTAAATCAAGTTATTCTTATGCTAACTAGCATTTTTCAAGGACAACTTCCATGAGAGAGCAAAGAAGGTTTGTATCAAAGCAACGTCGCCGTCAGCCTCACATTCACTCGAAGGCTAGCTGAGGGTACTAAGTCCCCAACTGTAGAATGGTATATTTTAGAATTTGGCTAAATAAACGCAATTAAGTTTGAAGGAGAGTAAATGCATTTTGTTTCATTGACCTTTTATCTGCTGTTAAGTTGTCGTCGTGGTTGTTTATGCTCCCTATTAGCTAATAACGAATACTTCCAGTCGTTGACAATTCTTCATGTAACTGTATTTATAAACCAATAGTACACGCTGACCGTTAACCATATGTGTAGATGTCAGTTTTGCCTTACAAAAATTAACCATTAGGATCAACTGCGATTTCAAACAGTAGTTTTTAATTTCTTTAAACAACTAGCGAAAAGTCCACAACTCTACAAGCGGAACATCTTTCGTATGATACTAACGTATGCCTCTTTAAAGTTCTGGATTTTAGCAGAGTAAATCAGAAAGTTCATGGCTGAGTTTGACAGAGCCAGGGTTCCAATCCACATGCCCAAAGGGCTGTTTGACCTTATAAGTGGTTTTACATTTATACTGCCAGAGATAACGACAATCAAGGGAGCCCAACAAGCGGTGAAAATACCGATTGCGATGGCCAGTGTACAAGAAACACGAATCTCCATGCGGGAGGTCAGTTTGAAAGAAACGTTTCGAGCTGCGCACAGTTGCTTTCTTCTCCTCTTGTGACGTAGCAGAAATACCACAATCAGAAAGTAGAAAAACAAAATTAAGAAAGAGCTGAAGAAAAAGGTTCCAGATATGAGAAATCGGCTCGCGGAATATGAAAGCGACGGACTGACACGCCTCAAAACGAGTACAAGAATCACCGTAAAAATCGGAATTTACCAGGATACTATAAGCATAACCTTAAGTCCCCATTTCTCCATGAAGTTTTTGTGTCTCAGTGGAAGCGCAACGGCAACAAATCGATCAAGACTGATAGCCACCATATGTAAGACTGAGGTAGTACATGAAAGATAGCTTAAAATGGAGAACACATAGTGCAGGCCCGCTTTGCAATCGTACAAGAATGTTCTCTGGATGATGGGTCCAATAAAGAGTGGCTCACATACCAAAGTGACGATTAGATCAGCGATCGCTAAGCTGAAGAGAAGGTAGTTGGAGGCTCGGCGTAGGTGAGAATTTGTAGCAATAACTAAACAAAC